GCATGACAGCAAGAGCAAGGGCAACAGCAACAGACAGACAGAGAATGCAATGATGGCCTCTAAAGTCCCTATTTCGTAGGGAACTTAGAATTTGCAAGGAAGAATAAGCAAAGAAACTAAACAAAATTTTTAATCTGGATAGAGTATGAAAATAGTCTAATTCTGCATCAAATTTGAGAACTAAATGTTTAAAAATCTCAATTCTGATTATTATCCCATCACAACTCAAACCCAGCCACTCAGACATTAGATTTTCCATCACATTGTTTTGTTTTGCTTTGTCTCATTTTCTTTTCAGTTTATCCACATATCAACCATTTTTAACAATGTGATTGTACTTAGTCACTAGTGGCAAAACTTCACTGTTTATCACTGGGAGTGTAGTTGTGTTTTTGTTTTTGTTTTTGTTTTAGCAGAACCGGGGATTGAACTCAAGCCTTTGTGCTTGCCAGGCAAGCGCTTATTCCACTGAGCCATCTTCCTGGCCCCCCCCCTTTTTTTGGGGGGGGAGTGTAGTTTAGTAGGAGGGCACTTGTTTAGTTTGTGTGAAGCCTGAGTTGACTCCACCCTTCCCCCAAAATGCTGTTGCTATACACAGTTTCTGATAGTTTCCATAACCTTTATGACCTCATTTCACAAATGAATCCTCAATTGTTTTTCTTTTTTTGTATCTAGTATCACTGCATTTTAATAACTGCAAGTTGAAAAAGCAAATACTAATACAATTGCAATGCACTGTCTCTGATCACATAATGCCCTATGACAATAGTTAGACATGTGCAAAGGATTAAGCCACACCAAGATTTCTTTTACTAAGAACACAGCTAAAGATCTAGGGGTATAGGTCAGTGGTAAAGAGATGCATAGGATAAAAAAAGGACTTACACACAATTTTTAGTACTCAAAAAGACAAAGTTGGGGCCGGGGAGATGGCTCAGTGGAATAAGCGCTTCCTTGGCAAGCTCAAAGACCTGAGTTCAATCCCTGTTTCCACCAAAAAAAAAATTAATTAATTAAAAAATAAAAATAAAAAATCCCAGCTCTTGGGAGACTGAACACAGATGGATCACTAAGAGTGTGATCTACATAGTGAGACTCTGCAGACCCTGTACTAAAATACAAAACAACAACAACAAAAAAAAAAAGACAAAGTTACTCCACCAACAAAAGCAGGTGTAAACTCAATATAGAAGGGGAAAAAAATGGTATCCCCCCCCTGTTAAACTTACTAATTGAATTTATAAATTTTTATGGCCATTAGAATGTCCCCAAAGAAAAACATCTGTTTTAGCAACAGGTTTTTTTTAATATGAAAAATCTTAAATTAATCTTACACATGCCAGGACAGTAGTTTATTTACAGGAATACCATTACAACTTAGTGAGTTCCAATTTTAAAAAGATTCAACAGGCAAATTTTCACTTTGTTCTGCATTAAAATATCACTCTTTAAGGCAGTGGATTAAGTGTGTGGCCAGAATTACTATACCCAATTCAAAGAGTTGCAAAAACTTCCAAAGGGCCAGGCATACAGCTCAGCAGCACAGCACCTGCCTGGCAAGTGTGAGGTCATGAGTTTGATTCCCAACACACACAAAAAAATAAAAACCTTCAAAATAATCACATGAGAGCCAGCCAGATAGTTCAGCAGATTAAAGTGCCTGCTTAAGCAGATGCAGGGACTGGGGTTTGATCACCAGCCTGCTGTGTTGACCCCACCCCTGGGGCACTCTGAGGCAGAGACTAAGACTGGGCATGGTTGAAAGTTTTTGCTTTGTTTTGTTTTGTTTTGTGGTACCCGGGGATTGGACTCACAACCTTGTGCTTGCCAGGCAAGCACTTTTTCCACTGAGCTATCTCCCTGGCCCGAGACTGGGCATAGTGGTGCACCCCAGTAATCCCAGCACTTGGAAGGCTATAAACAGGAGGATCACTATGAGTCTGAGCTGCGCAGTGAGACCCCTGTACTAAATACATAAAAAAATAATAATAATCACATGGACACAATATCATTTCTTGTTCAACCCTTGGCCCTTATGAAACTGGACACGGAAATGCTGACAAATACAAGGTAAGAGCTCAATTTCAGAAAGAGGTAATAAATCATTAAATAATATGTATCAATCCATAGAGGACAGCTATAGTGGAAGAATATTGAAACTTCAGTAAAGGCAAATATCATGAAACTAGGATACGGACTATCTGGGACTATCCACAGCCCAGATACCCTAAACTCACATGGGTGCATTCAAAAAAAACTCACTGACAGGGCTGAGGATGTAGCTCTGAGGCAGAGCGGAAGAAGTGGTTGTGCTGTTGGGCTCTACAGCGAGCACACCTAGTTTACTACCTTTGTGATCATCAGCAAACTTTGTTCATTAGTGGCAGGAGTGTTGTTTGGTTTGCCATTCTAGAGATGGACTGCAAGTAGCACTGAGCTATACCAATAGCTCTTTACTTTTATTTTTTTTAATTTATTTATTTTTATTTGTGTGTGTGTGTGTGGCTAGCTCAGCCCACCAGGGGGCGGGGCTGGCATGTGGTGCTGGGGGATTGAACCACGGTCCCTGTGCTTTGCTAAGCTTGTTCTAAGTAGATGCTTTAGATCACTGAGCCATCTAAAGATCACACACACACTAAATAAATGTAATAAAAAAAAAAAACCTTTGCACTTGTCTGACTGTTGTGATATGGGATTATGTGATCAGAGATGGTCCATTACAGACATCCCCAGTTCTTTTTTATTTTATTCTCAGATACATTCTTGCTATGTTACCCACACTTGAACTTGTGATCTTCCTACCTCAGCCTCTCTCAATAGCTGAAATTACAAACATGAGCAACTACATCTGGCCCTTGACCAAATTTTTAAATTCTATGCTCAATTTTCCTTTCCTGTAGAATAGGAATAAAAGCAGCTATTTCAATATTGTGGAAGATTAAATGACCTAAATCATGTATAACATTTAACTGTTTTTAATCAAAAGAATGTATAAAAGTTCAAAGTTTTAATAACACTGTTAAGGTTGTTGGAAAACAGGCAACCTCATATACTACTTAGTAATAACCTTGTAAAGACAATTTAGAAAGCCCACTTTTGAGAATTTATCCCACTGATATTCTTTTTTTTTAATTTATTTATTTTATTTATGTGTGTGTGTGTGTGGCCAGCTCAGCCCACCTGGGGGCGGGGCTGGCTGGCATGTGGTGCTGGGTGATTGAACCGCGGTCCCTGTGCTTTGCTAAGCTTGTTCTAAGTAGGTGCTTTAGACCACTGAGCCATCTCACCAGACCCACCCACTGATATTCTTACAGGTGAAAAAAAGGCATATCGGTTTTATTTTATACTGGAAATCCAAACACCCATCAAAAAAGTTTATTAAATTAAGGGTGGCAAAGTCATGACATGGAATACTATATAGCAGCTTTTATAAAACAGAATGAGTCCACTAATCTGACAAGACATCTAGGTGAAAAACAAATGTAGATAAAAATGTCTCTTTTACATAAAATGAGACAACAAAATTAGGAAACAGTTATCCTTGCGTGTCCTGAGCTAAGAAAATAACCAAGCATAGAGGGAAACGTCACACTGTGTATTTTTTATTATAATAGTCTTTTTAAACTAAATGAATATTTTATTTTTAAAGTGTCAGGCATACATTTCCAGCTCTCAAATGTTAGCCATATTACTGTTGTTCCTTCTAAAGCCACTTTCTTACTCTCTGTATACAGAAGCCTCCTCTACCTCCTCTAACTTCCAGACTATTTAAAGAATTTATCACTTTCTACACCAGCATTAGTAGACTAAAGGGCAAGTCAACATCTCGGGCATTTTAAATATTCAAGGTGCCTTATTTGAACATAGTAAAAATATTTTAGAACAACGTACAAGTGCTCCAAAAAGATGAAGTGACCATTTCTTTATGTGTGTGTACATATATACGCATATATATACTGTATCATTAACTATAAAAAAAAAAACCCTGGATTTGTTAATGTCCTTTCCACTACTGCTCACTCAAAATCATTTTTCACAAAGTTCTTTCTTTTTTCCTCAGAACTTTCCCTGACACTGACAGCACGCCCGAAGCCCAGATCTTACGTATACCAGCTCCTTTAACTCACTGAATGTTGTCTTTTGTTTTAAGTCTCAACACCTGATGCATCTCTCCTGTTTAAAAAAAAAAAAAAAAAAAAACCGCAAGCTCTAGTCAAAGCTGTTTTTGCCGAGTCAGATGTTCATAGACCAGGCAGTGATTAAGGGTCGTAATCTAGAGAGGACCTAACATTTAATTTCTAATTTGCTCAGTGTTTTTTCTGTTCTGCTATCAAGGGTATTTTATAACTGACTGCTCAGCAGCCCAGTTCTAGAAGTCACTCCGACACACTGAATACTCTCCACTGACAGCTCAACAGCCACTTTTCATGCAGGCCCCTCCCCTTCCCTCCTCCCGCAACCTCCTCAGCTCAGGAGCTCCTTTCCTCTCTCGCACAGGCACCTCGACAGTCCAGAAGCCTTTTCCGCAAGTGTCCCTTTCCTGCAGGTCCGAGACCACCTCCCCAGCTCGAGTCACCTTTTGGCCCCATTCAATTCCTCAAGCCACCCCCTCCGGGTCACGCCAAATCACTCCCCAAGTCTCTTCTCAAGAACCAAGCAGGCAGCTTTCCAGCCTTCCCCAACAAGTACACAACTGACAGCTCCACCACAGGCTCCGCCAGCGTCCTCCCCTCCACCACTCGCCCCAGGTCTGCCCTCCTTCTTCTCCCGCCCTGGCCCCCTTGAAAACCCACAGCCCGGATCCCCGCACGCGCTCTCCCCTCCTCCCCACCCCCTTCCCGGCGCTGACAGCTCAGGCACTTCCATCCCGGTGCGGCTGCGCCCTCCCCCACACGCGGCGCTAACAGCTGGGGGTCGCTCCCACCTGCACCCCGCGCCTGGGCCGGGCCAGAACGCCAGCCGCCCCGCCCGCGGGGTCGCCCGCCCCGAGGCCCGCTCACCCGCTCTCCCGCATCACGTTGCTGTCCCCGCAGTCGCAGGCGCCCCCGGCCTGGCTGCGGAACATATTGAAGTCGTGTCCGGTGTGGTCGCCCTGGTGGAAGCACTCGGCGCACAGCGACATGCAGGGGGAGATGCCGCACGTCCGGCAGCGATAGGCCACGAAGTTGGCCGTCCACACCAGGCCGCACAGCGCCGCGGGGTCGTAGGCCCGCACGGCCGCGCAGAACTCCTCGTAGCCGCCGCCACCGGCCAGCAGGCACTTGCACCACTCCAGGGCCTCCTCCTCAGCCGCGCCAGGGCCGCCCCCGCCGCCGCCGCCGCCCGCTCCCGCGGCGTGC